TCAATCTGACAAAAAGCGTGCACAACGCTAAGTGTATAAAACACACAAAAGTTACTGGTAATTAAACAGATAAAACACAAACAAACAAACATACAAAAACACAATTATTGAAAAGAAATTCGGGTCGTGGATTACGAATTGACGTTGGGCGCCACTGTCGTATACGTATCACTCGAAAGTTACCAAAATATATAACCCACAACTATTAGATTGACATCATTTTATTATTAAAAAACAAACACTAAATATTAGACACAAATCAAACATACGGGCCTCCCCGGAGCACCCGCACTGCCCTTCTACCGCGGTGCTTACGTGCTTAAATATAGTTGAACAATGTGCTGCCTCAGCTCATTTGCTTCATTGGCCTCTTTTTAAGAATATCATACTGTTTTTAATTTAATACAACTTTGTGTGCCCCGAACTGGTTAGCACATACAACAGACCTAAGATGCTACCTTGATGGACGCCAAATAGAACACGAAATTTATTGCTCAGAGATTTTAGTTTTTTTCCAAAGAGACGAATGAACTGTCCACAATCGCCCTGCAAGTAAGATATTATTATCCAAAAATAAGAGTGGCTGTGCAATTCTGAGCTGGTTTAGAAATTAAATCATATTATATATCACATACCGTGCCAACACTGAATCCAGGTGAAATAAAAACGCATTTCTTAATATTGGACATTATTTAAATGTTGATTTTAAATAGAATTAAAAGTACGTTAATCTTTCTGGATGTTGTTTAAAGGTGAAATGAAATGGAATCGTATATCCACGAAGTGTTAAACGTTAAATGTTGATGTGGCATTAAAAACATAACGCTTATCAATCTATGATTTTTATATGGAGGGTGCTTGGGTTAAAGTATTGTGTTTTGTATACTCCGTCCTAACAATGTGCTAAATATTTAAAAGGATAAACATAAGTAATAACTTTGAAAATACATCTACAGAAAAAACCCTTTATTTAACTAGCTATCTTAGCTTATTATCGGTTCACTTAAGAAAACCACTCGTGAAACCGTTACCTGTAACACTATAGAAGTGCTGTCTACCTTAGGCATAGCCGTTCAAAACTTTTGGAAAATTGGAGAAGTGCCTAAGTAAATATCCACTTAAAATTAACAAAATGTATTAAAAACTATAATGAATGCTCAGAAAGGCCAAAACTGATCAAAATGCATTAGTGTCGGTTTTCAATAATGCGATGTATAGGTATGAAGCGGATTTTGTGATTGAAAAGCATGGCCTAGGACTAGGTGTTCTTCTTAATAGAAGATGTTTGTGTGTGTGTGTTTTATTCACATAAATCTCATGCAAAAATTTAAAGTTTTCGAGTTTAAAAAAAAATTTTCTTTCGTAGAAACGTTCCCCTGGCAATTACGATTTACGAACAACTGAAAAAAAATTTGAACCAAATCAGCCCAGCCGTTCTTAATATTGATGAATTACCATATATTTCTCACACCACATTCATAATATATACCTATAGATAATATTATATTTTTGTGTTTATTATAGGTTTGCTATTGGTTTCAAAATGTATTATAGATGAATGAGAAATCAACAATTGGTTATTACTTATTATAGGTACCGGTTTCAAAAATTGTGTAACCTATAGGTAGGTACAAGATAAAAATGGGTTGAAAAAATAGTTATCATGATCGAATACAATTTTAGACGTGCACTTTATATGACTGTATTAAAAATCTTTAATGGAGATTAAGATGTGGTAAATCCACGGGACTTTATCACAGAGAGTTTTGAACATCGCCAAATGACGAAATGACGAATTGAACACAAATTTCGAAGAATCATATACAATTGATCTCTTTAACGGGCAATGAAGTGAACGGGATCACATCTATAATAATAAATAAAGTAAGTAGGTACATATGAATAGTTTTGAGTTATTCAGGCATTACCTATATGACCTGTACAGAAATGATAACTTTCGTCATTATTTGTATTGTTATACCTATTTCGTGATTTATACTGTTATAAATTTAGGGCTCGGTACTTAATCCACTTAAAAAGTACTAAATATGCATGCTCTTATGCGCTTAAAAAAGTACAAATATGCTCTAAAAATATGCACTTATATTTTATTTTTTTACACAAAATTTTCATTTGCAGAAATATTTTATAAAATTATAAATATGGAAAAAGCAAAGTAATAAAAATAATTTTGATTTTTAATTTTTAATCATAATTTAAACAACAACAAAATTATACTCTAAACTCTAAAAATCATTAATTATGCAAAAATATGCACTGTAAACTTTTGATATGTTTTTCGTGGTGTCTTAGAATGATTTTCTAGCTCACTTAGCAATAACATCTAACGGTCCAAAAAAAACATGCAAATGCAACAACTTCCGAGCCCTAGTTATAATTATAAATTGCCGACCTACAGGCGGTCGGATGAAATATATTGTTTTCATAAGCCAATAAATCGACGCGATATGAATAAAAAAAAAAATTACCAATAAGACAATAGGTAATTAACAGGGCTCGTAAGTTCATGCACTAAAAGAAGCACAAATAAGCATGCATTCATACACTAAAAATTGGCAAAATATGCATTAAAATATGCACTAAAAAGTTTGAAAAAATGCATTTAAATGCCCTTACATTTTTAAATTATGCACTCAAAATATGCATTATGTAAATTATTTATCAGCAAATTTTAAAATAATAAGAATATATCCATTAATTTTAAAAGTATTTTATTCCTTTTAATTTTTATATATTTAACAATCAAAATTAATAAAATCAATACTTGTGAAGTTCATATTATAATCATATGGATTTGTCATCTTTATTAATTTTAATTAGGTAGTCATTTTTTGTCTAATTTTTGTACACCATTATCCTGCACCTATAATGAAAATATTTGGAATGAAATATGAGTTATTTGACATTTTCACGGCTCGTACAGTAAAACAACTCATCGGCGACTGGCGTGTGCAAGAAAACTATTCTGTACCAGTGTGCAAAATTGTAGATGCGGATTGGTAAGAAACATTGTACAAGCGTAGGGTACATGCTTGTATAGGTATCGTTTCGACGAGGGACTATACACGGCCAGGCATGTCGATAGGGGGGGGGGGGAGGAAAGGTAGGATTTCTCCCGGGCCCTAACGTTTTAAGGGGCCCGAAAAACAGGGAAAGTAATTAATTATTTAATTCGAAAACATTTTTTTTTGCTTATCTACAAACTTTGGCTGGTGGCATGTTAACCAAATGATAAAATAATATAAAATATGTGTATATATATTTAGTTTTCACTAAAAACTAATTGGTGTAAAATTATTAATTGTTATCGTGTCATTCGCGTCAATACTCTATATATGCTGTATTTACGGTTTTACCCAGCAAACTGACAACTGTACACGAACTAACCTAACGAAGTTACAACAATATTATTGAGACATTGCGATTTACGATAACATTATAACAACCAATATTAAGTATCGGATAGATAAGTGTATATTGTATAATACACTGTATATCATACTATTATATCACAGACATCATATGGTTGTTGGTGCGTTTATGATGTTTTTGATAAATTGATATACAAACTAAACAATATATTATTAATTAGTTACATTGTTACATAGTATTTATGACCAGGTCTAGGATTCGTATGCAATTAAAAATTGAAAAATATGCATTTTATTTACCAAAATAGGTAGGTATATGTACAGTGATTTTTTCCCCGTTATTATTTTTTTGTACAGAAATACTGGTCCAACAATTTCAACTAGCTACTTTTATAATTCGATAAGTTTGTTGACATATCGAAGTTATTCAATTTTTGCACTAATTTAAAATACAGCTGAACATAATTTTTTCCGCATAATTGTTTCAATTTTCGTTACGTTCTTTTTTTGTTTTTTTGAAATTACTCTTAGAAAAATATTTTTAATATTTTAAATTTTGTATTCATTACTTGAAATTACCTTTCATTTTAATATTTTACTATAGAAATGTCTTAGTGTCTTACCCATATAAATCTGGCTGTCAAAAGCGTAAAGAGCGTGTAGAACGGGAAGAAAAATTTTTAAAATCTCAAAAAGGTCAATCAGCTCTAACTGCTTTCAAATTTTGTAAAATTATTTAAAAGCAATTTTATTAAAAACCCTGGTAATATTGTTTACAAATTTGTGCTTTTACTTTGTTATTTAAAATAAAAAAGGTATAAATAATATAAGTAATATTGTTTACAAATTTGTGCTTTTACTGGTTATTTAAAATAGAAAAGGTATAAATATTTAAAAATTAATTTGGTCTTGGTAGGGTGTTTGTAGCTCCTGGAACCAAAACTAATAGGGGCCCTTAAACATTTTCCTCCCTGGCCTGAACTTTTCTCTCTGCGGCTCTGTACACGGCGGAGGATGGTAGTGGTAGCTATAAAATTGTTTCCGCGGTACTAAGTAAAACGCATAAAATCTAAATAGGGAAAATGGGAAATACTAGAAAAGTAAGTAGTCACACGAAAATAAAAATAAATCAAAACACTATCATTCAGTAAACGGGAAAGTAAATAAGAAACAAGAAACATTTCAAATATTTTTCTAAACAATTTGTTTTATGAAATAATATGCTCTATAAACTCTAAAAAAAACGATTATACATGCCAAATATGCCTTTACGCCCAAAACATGCAAAAACATGCACTATTAAACTTCATATTATTATTACTATTGTTATGAAACGGATTTGTATCTCAGTGAGCATATTTTTCTGTGTAGCAAAAAAAACATGCAAATACATGAACTTACGAGCCCTGGACTAATAAATTAATGTGCACGGGTAAGCTCAGGTATTTTCCATACGACATATTTTATTCGTCAGTTCATTACACACGGATGTACGAACGTAGGTCCAGTGATTATTGGTTAATGCCATTAGTGATTAGTAACCAATATTGAAAAAATCGGCGTTCAAAGTTCAAACAGCGTGCGGTGTTCCCGGTAGATCTTGTTTGAACTACAAAGCTGCCAAACGGATGTCTTTTTTTTTCCCCCTGGCAAGCCGAGCGTTATCACCTCCTTCGCACCGTGGTACGGTGATATTATGATAAGAGCGTTGCTTATTGAAGTCTAAATAATAATTCTTTGCTTAGTTGTTAGCTACTTTTATAAATATTCACTGGGTTACCCACTGTCTGCTCAACTCGAAGCCGAATCAATATAACGTTATTCCTCTGCGTTTCAGCCAGTTTTTCGAAAAACGTGAACAGAATACAGCACGGAGTACCACTGGTCAAAAAGTTTCGTTTGACCTCGAGCCTTGGTCGGGGACAATATTCTACTGATGTAAGTGTTTGATGTAGTTTTTTATTTTTTATTTTTTTTTTATTAGTTGTGTACCTTCGTGTTTCAATGATAATGGCAATCGGAAGACACATACAGTGTGAGCTTGATACTTTGCACTGTGGCACAGTATTGTATTTTTATTGTTGTAATTTATTGTTTTTCGCTGGTGGAAAATAGAACTTTGTCTTGTACTACAGGGCAGTAGGTATTTGAACATGTTGTGCCCTGTGGCAGCATATTTATATCCACCCTCCCCCCCCCCCCAAAAAAAAAAAAATAATAATTTAACAAAATTTAAGCTATAACTATTTTGTTGTAGACAATGTTTGTCTACAGAAAATTTGAATAACTACCTATGCTATTACTCTATACTGTACAGTATTGTAATATCACCAAATTATATGGTATATTTTTTCTAAATCTATGAGATTAAAGTTGAATTGATTTGGAATGCAGATATTACAGAGAGTGGTCTTTGTTTTGAGTGTGATTGATATTGTGACTACTTCTATGTTTAGAATGATAAGTTTATATTAAGGGAGTAGGTATATATAGTATAAGCGTACTTGTTGCATTTTCTTGGTATTGATGATCTACCAAAAAAAATGATTAAAAATAGGCAAGTAAGTATTCATATTTTTAATTTAAGTAGGTGATGATTAATTTTAACAAACAAATTAAGACCTTTATTTAATAATTGCTAATTTTTATTTCAATGATTTATAAATAAAATAAATAAGTGACTACTATTGTATAATATAATATGCATTGTATGTTATAAATTTAATTTAATAATTAATATTTAATAGTTACCTGTGCTTTCAACTGGAAGCTCTGTCTAGTTTTTTTTTTTTTATTGTGGAAATAAATAGAATTATTACTGCCAAACTTAGAACAAGTTGATGTTATCTTAAATTTTTTATTCTTATATCTTGATTTGCCTAGACCAATTAGTGGCATTTAATTTGTCTTCTTTCTACCCCACATAGAACAAATAATTTTAGAATTCATAATAAAAACAACTACAATAGTTACAAGTATGAAACACTTCACAGTTCAAATGAACTCAGTAAATAAATTACTGCAGCAGTTTATACATGACATACAATTAGACTTAAAGGCATTGAAAAAGCATACATTAAAGCTTAAGCTTATTTAACAACATTAACATTTTAAACCAATTGAAGTGAACACAACACGGTATACTAGCCAACAACGACTACAGTATAGGCAAATTTTAATGAACACCTGTGATAATAATAATTAAAGATTATTGACAACATGATATCTTCATATTTATTACAATTTAACATTGTCTGTATTCTAAAATAATTATTTTCCTAATTCGCATGAATACATTTAAATGTAGAAAGCCACCCTGCATTGTCATATACTAGTATGGCGGTGTATATAGTTGTATAACATGCACGCTATGCAAATGAATATACCGTGATTTGTAAACTATGTTTAAACAGCCGTATTACATTATTTTAAATTAACATGCATTTGTATCATTTTTCTTCAATATAATTTAGGTATCTACTTTAATAATAATAATTATAACGTGGGCAGTAATTTATAGTTTATAGGATTAATTTACTCGCTACTCAAATACCACACCCACCACCCCTAAAAATTTGGTCTGGTCAGTACCAGACTTAAACCTCAAGTTCAGTGCCACTGTGATGATAACCAAATAAAGTTATTTTTATATTCTCTTGATTTTAACCATAACATTGTTGAATAACACAATAATATACTTTTGCTTTTTAATTTTCTTTTGTAATCAAATAATGATTATTTATATCCCCAGTGAATAATATATTATATTATTTTCGTAATGGATTATTAGATGACATTTTTTACTTTCCCTCCATAAAATAATCATGAAGTATTGAGTATAAATATTTTATAAGATGCTGTTTAATAATTCATTTATCATTACATATTTTTGTATTTATATTTTTAGATTTTTCTCCAAAAGAGTAAATTGAAAATATTGACTCAAGATGAGTGATGATTACCGTGATATTGATCTGGACACTGCAGAAAAACGTGCACATCATAACGCTTTGGAGCGCAAAAGACGTGACCATATCAAAGATAGCTTTTCAAGCCTTAGGGATTCAGTTCCATCACTACAAGGTGAAAAAGTTGCTAGCCGTGCACAGATATTAAAAAAGTCAGCCGATTACATACAATATATGAGACGCAAAAATGTTTGCCATCAACAAGACATCGATGATCTCAAGAGGCAGAATAATATTTTGGAATCACAGATTAAAACCTTAGAGAGAGCTAAGGCTTCTGGAAATTATGGTATGGAGTCTAGTGAATTACCATTAGACGGAACAGGACTAGACAATTCTGATGCATCAGGCGAAGAAGTTCACAAATCCAAAAGACTAAAAATTTAAAAATCTAGTTATTAAATTTTAATTTCTACTAATGTCTAATTTTTACTTATTTATAAATTTATAATATATGAGGTAGATTAATATTTAAATGGTATCTTATTTAGTACAAATTTTAAAATTAACATTATGGGGAAAATCATGGTTTTGCTTATTATATATTTTTATACAAAACATTGTCTTTAAAATCTTTGGAGATAATTGTAAACAAAATAAATGTAAAAAAATTATTATTTGTGAACTTATTTGATCACCCTAGTGCAAGTGCATATTGTGAGTTTTTTCTAATTCATTTCAAAGAAAATGACCATATGAAATGTATGCACCCCCATAAATATATTACCAACACAAACTGTATTTGATGCAATTTCTTAATTTGACAGAACAATTATGACTTATCCTAAATTCATGAGTGATGTATAAAATAAAATTAGAACTCTGAAATTGGAGTAAAAATAAACATAAAATAAACTGTTTCAATTATTATTTATTACTTGAAATTTCATTATTTTCTATTAAATTCAATTTAGGTTTTCAGATTAAATAAAAACTTAATACTTCATATAACATTTTTAGAATTTGCATTACATGGTAACCAAATACTTTAAATTTACTTATATTATTTACAACGGTTGAAATTAGTATTGTTTTTTTTTTTTAAATGTCCTCATATGTTGATAGCTAACTAGTTTTGTTATTTATTTTTATGTAATAGTTGCTACTGCAAAATATTGTTTTGCATATTTATAGTTAGAAAATACTCTGTATTGTAACTCTATAAGTGTAAATTAAACATTTAATTGTACATTGTTATTTTTAATTTTTTTTTTAATAAAAGCGTCAACAACTGAATTATTAGATCGTATCAATATTTATAATGACTTTATTTTATTGACCTAACACTATGTATAATATAATAGTTAACAATGTAAGGTTTATATAAATACATTTTTTTTTTTAAACATAAATAAGTTTTGGTTCTGGCTGATTTTTTCTAGGCCAATTTTTGTAGCCCATAATAATAACATTTGTTGGTAACCCTTCTCCTCCCTCAAAACATATTTGTGATTCATAGATTTCCTTTACAGTAGAGGAATATCAAGTAACGTGCTGTGTTTTATTATTTTTTTTTTTTCTAATATTTATATATCGTTTTGATTTATTTTATTTTATGTAGGTGAAGTTATTGCCTCGTTTGCTAACATGCCAACTTTTTGCCTGTAAACTTTTTGCCTTGTCACATAATTTTTTTGGGAGGTTATAATGATTTGGTTTATTTATTAGACTATATCATTGGTGGGATTGGGTGATTTCTTAGCTAAGTGGCCTCTCAAAGAATTGCTGATGATGAACACATTGTTCTTGGAAAATCACATAGCTTTGGCCTTTCCTGGTGAAGATTCTGGCTTCCAGCTTTATTTTTTATTTTTAATTATTTTGAAGACCTTGTATTATGTATTATTAATAATATTATAATATTTAAGGCTGTCAGTTGTTATTTTTGTTCTAAAATTGTATCACATTAATGATAACTAAAATATTATATAACTTGAAGAAACCATAAACCTAAAATGTAGTAATTGGTTCAAACTAATGTTTTGATGAGTATTTCATACTTGACAATTGATATAAAATATAAAATAAACATTGTAATGTTTTTAAATTAGCATAATTTAGTTTCATAAAATCATGTATATCATACTTGTCATACACTAGACTTCCTAAGTATTTTTAACAAAATATTTTACACATAAATTGTTTTCTTAATACTTATATTAATATTATTTAATAATATGTTGTATATTTATTATTTATTATTTGTTAGTGACTTCAATTTAAGTGACTTAATTTGTATTTTGTTAAGACATATAGAATTTAGATTCTTTAGTGGAACCACTACTTTGGGTAGGTCTAGAGGAAATGACTAACTTTTAATTGCTATAACACAAAATTCTGGTTGTAAACAGTGCATTTGTGGGAGTTGAGGCGACTACTATTTATGTCTATTATTACTATTTTAATCTGTAGGATGTAACCAGTAGCAATCATTTATAAGGAAAAAACGGCACCGTAATAATTAACATGGCCACATGACATCTGACATTTCGTCCTTTTGCTCAACTCCTAAGGGTGATAGTGTGATGTTAAATAGTGTATAACATTCCTCAAAACTTATCCTATTAAATGCAAAGATAATTTTTCAAATCCGAATGGTAGCTCAAAAAATAACTTGGTTTTGGGTTTACTACATTATACACAATATGTAAAATTTGCAAAATAAGCTGAAAATATTAACTTTTAACTAATTTCTTTTTTTTATGTAAGATTTTTTATTTGTCTTTACTATGTATACTTAGCGACCTAAGTGCCTACTAATTGAGTATTGTTTAAATGTATAATCATGCTATACTAGACCTATTCTACATTTGAAAACAGTTAACCTAACAACTTATTAGGTCTATATAATTTGTCTTTTGTATTAATAGTTGTTGTTTCTTTTGAATTTCAATATTAATATTAAGGAAAGGTACCCTTAGCATAATTTATGAATTTCACATGTATACAATAGTTTAGATAATAATTACTTAAGTCTAAGTATAAAAGTAATTACTTAATCCTTGAGCACCCACTATACAATATACACGGTACTACTGCAGTATACTGATCATTATAGTATATTATATTAATTTTACTTAAATTTTATCTTAAGTAATTAATTTACCTAGTTTTATTTTCAAAATATTTAGTTTGATTTACAATTAAAATATTTTATTTATTTATTTAAAATTTATATTAACAGATAAATGATTTGGTTTTTGGTATATTGTAAGTGAGATGCATCCACTTGAAACTTGTGAAAACCCAATTTTTTTGCAAAACTGACTTTGAGACTAACTCAATCAAATTCTGCCGAATAGAAAACAAAAGTCAATCGGTTAACTTACAAAGCATATGTATAAATGCTATTTGATAGAAAAACAAAATTATATCTGCACAGCATCTGATATATGAAGTGGAAATAACATAAATTACATGGGTAACCTATAATATTTATGTAAGTTTTAAATACTTTATTATTTATTTAAATTAATATCGAAAGATTACTCGGAATAAAAAGTGAAACATTGATTTATCGAACTTGACTGAAATTTCCTAGACTAAAATATACTTTACGTAGAAATTGTGCTGTACATAAATTAAGTAGTCTTAACTTAATATGAGTTTTTTTAAATTAATATTATAAATATTATGGTATGTCAAAATATGCATAGTACAAATAATAATTTATAATAACGATGATAATTATATTGATAAATTATTAACCAATTAAACAATTTTTAGAAGTGTTTTTAAATGAAAATGTCAAAGTTTCATAAACAATAAGTTATTTAGAGTTGTATTAAGTAAAAGTTAGGAATACTGAATATATTATTGTATAAACCTACATATACACTTCATTAGAAGAGCTAGACGTATTGGATGTACACTGTACATAACAATCTACTTGGTATAATAATATAAGAAACCGTAGAAGGGAAGAATTTCCAAGGAAGACCACCACTCAAATACATAAGCCAATTAGTCAATGATCTAGTGTGTGAAACATACTATAAATTAAAGCGAAAAGCAGAGAGGCATGAAGATTGGAGGAGTGCTGCTAACCAGCCACTGGACTGCGGACAAAAGTAATAAAAATAAGCCTACCCTATTCTTTGTTATTTTTTATATGATGCATAACTGAAGACAAATCACAAATTATTAAGTTATTTGATGATTTTCTTTTGACCAAATTAATGAGTATTTCTAGGAGAGTATTGCCAAACCATGTACTATTGGACAAATTACAAGGTGATGTTTTTTGTGTTATGTAGAGCTAACTATTTAATTACTAAGCTCGTTCTTAGGATAAATTATTTAAACCATTTACAAATATTCCATAGAAACAAGATTTTGTTATTTATTTGATTTAAATAGTCCGGAAAGTAAAAGTTTCATTATTTCTTCCATAAGTCATCCTAAATTTAAACTCAGTTGGGTTCCAATGAAGTTTATGAATGTTTGTTAAACCCTATTTCTCACCCAGTGCAGTGTGGTAGCTGCAACTTCTAAAAGTGCTGTGAACTCTGTTTAATGACAAATGTGAAATAGTAGATTCTGAAAATAATAACAGTGAATTTTATACTAATGAAAATAAAATTGGTTATAATAACACAATTCCAAATCTAAATCTTCAAGTTATGCAAATTTACAGGCAAAAGCATATTTTATGCCTATTATTGAGGTATTCTTGGCATATAATACATCAATTCCACCCTCAGAACCAGAAGAGAGATTATTTAGTAAGGCAATGGTAGTGCATGTTAATACTGAAACGGAATAGGTTAAGGGATAAAACATTTGATATGATACCTACTTACTATGTAGCCGATTAAGTATGGTTTAAGCACATTATTCATTCTTAAATTTTTTTTGAATTTAAGTTTTTTGTATTCAGTCAGAGAATTACTACTGTCATTACAGTACTTTGTACTGTTTAATAAAAAGTTTTAAATATATTACCCTGTACTAATATGGCTGTACCTATCACTGAAAATGAGCAAAAATTTAAATTTAACACGAATTTATCTACATAAAAATGTATTTATTTTTATCTTTATCAAGATCAATATAATTAGTGAGGTGTTGATCATATATTTTGTTATAATACAGTATGTTAATTAATCGGAAAGTCAGTGGCTCCAGTTCAAAATTTAAAATATTGTAAAATTGTATGGTTTTCACACTTTGATAACTTTACTTATCCAATAAGTGTGAAAACCTTAACATTGTAATTTATAAGTATGTAAGGCTGAATTTTTGAAAAAAAAGTCGCTTTTATTCGTTCTTCATTCAACATTTTTCAAATACCTAATCAATTATAAATGTAAACGATTTTGAATTTTTACAATTTCACCATGGTAAAAAAGAGGCTATTGCCTACTAGTCATACATTACATTAAAAAAGACCATTCTACAATATCTGCAACACATTTAGAATTAGAGCTACTGACTTTCCAATCGATTAACATACTGTCTTATATGTCTCACTTGTTAAGTTTACAATATTCCTCCTGGGTAAGATCTATTACTTCAAATTTACTTCCCTTTCTTTTAGCTTGGTATAGGCCGGTGTCCTGAAAGAACAATTAAATCAAAATGTCATATTGTTTTGTTTTATTAAGTTCCAGAAAATCGTGCAACGCTTAAGGAGACTCGTAGCTCACCTTGTTTTGACATTGGTCCGATTGGCCCAAAGCACAAGCCTTGCGTAGCTTGTATATATCGTCATCGGTACAGCTGTTGTCCGTACGACGACCACCTCCAGCCTTATCCGCGGCCGTCGGCGTGGTCGTCGTACATCCGGTTTCGTCCTGGTTTTGGTGCCCGATACGAGCACGTCCTGCAGTTTCGGAATTGCCAGGTCCGGTCCGGTCCCGTTCGTTGAGCATCCGGTCTTTTCCGTTGTCCCCGAGGTTAATCGCGTCCTTTCCACCGCTGCCGACGCCACCTCCACCTCCACCTACTCCTCCGCCTCCGCTATCGTCGCCTCGTACGTCTGCAGGTGCACGTGGGCTGCCCTTGGTACTGACCGGTTCGTTTATCCCGTCGCGGGCGGCCGTCAGCGAAGCGTCGTCGTGGTAGTCGATCGCCGGAGAGATCAGTTTTTCCGATGGCACCGCTTTCTTTCCACCGCCACCAACGCCGCCTACGCCACCAACGACGCCTCCGCCACCAACGCCGCCTCCGCCACCTCCGCCACCAACGCCACCAACGCCGCCTCCGCTATCGTCGCCTCGTACGTCTGCGGGTGCACGTGGGCTGTCGATGGCCTCTGCCGCCGAAGATATTCCCTTAGTACCGACCGGTTTTTTTATCCCGTAGCGGGCGGCCGTCGGCGAGGCGTTGTCGTGGTAGTCGATTGCGGGCGAAATCAGGGTTTCCGAAATCATGGTTTCGTCTCTCTCCTCCTTGCCGACGCCGTTCATTTTGGTATTAGGGTTTTTTGGTTTTTTCCCAACAGAGCCGGTGTTTCTGGTCCAGGCGGTTTTTGATTTTTCCGCGACACCGTCGGCACCGGGAATGTTTCTATTGCTGTTGTACAACTTTCTGTTCTTGTCGTCGTCTGCTCCACCGACGTCCGCCGACGGACCTGTCTTCCTCTGAGTTCCACTGCTTCCGCCGACCCCCTTCAGCTGCGCTCCGGTCGTCGCCGGTTTCCGATTTTTGTCCGCAGCGATCGCGGGCACCCGATCGTCGGATTTTTTCCGGTCATCTTTCGTCGCTGTCCTCCGGGCTGCGTAGCTGCGTTTTTGTGATCGCTCGTTATTTGCGGAGTTGTCGTCGGATTTGCCGTTTCCGGACTTGACGCCTTCGCCTACCGTGTCCCGGTTGTCACTCTGTTTCCGTGATCGCTCGTTATTTGCGGAGTTGTCGTCGGATTTGCCGTTTCCGGACTTGACGCCTTCGCCTACCGTTTCCCGGTTGTCACTCTGTTTCCGCGATCGCGTGTTCTTTGCGGCGTTGACGTCGGATTTACCGTTTCCGGACTTGACGCCTTCGCCTACCGTTTCCCGGTTGTCACTCTGTTTCCGCGATCGCGTGTTCTTTGCGGCGTTGTCGTCGGATTTACCGTTTCCGGACTTGACGCCTTCGCCTACCCTTTCCCGGGCTGTTGTTTTCGACGCGTTGCTCGTCCTCATCATCATACTGTTTGTCGGTCGTTTTTGGTCTGTCCGAGAGCCGGTCGTTTTTTCGATCCGAACTTTGCGCGCTTTGTCCGGTCCGCCGACGGCCGACGGTTTGCGCCGAGAGGCGTTTTTCTGCGATTGTGAATTCGCTCCACTTACTCCTTCGCTCGGTCTGATCGACCTCGTATTGTTTACGGCGCTGTCACCGGTTGCCGTTTGCCGCCTGGTCTTCGTCGCGATGTTATTTTTACTGTTTCCCGGCTTGACGCCTTCGCCTACCGTTTCCCGGTTGTCACTCTGTTTCCGTGATCGCGTGTTCTTTACGGCGTTGACGTCGGATTTACCGTTTCCGGACTTGACGCCTTCGCCTACCCTTTCCCGGGCGGTCGTTTTCGTCGCGTTGCTCGTCCTCATCATCGTACTGTTTGTCGGCCGTTTTTGGTCTGTTCGAGAGCCGGTCGTTTTTTCGAGCCGGAGTTTGGACGCGTCGTTTTGCATTTTCGAGGTTTTTTGCTCCTTCCCGTTTGCCGATTTATCCGGTTTCGCACGAACCGGAACTTTTGTCGCCGATCTGGAATCCACAGTGCTTTTGACGCCGTCCGTCGACGTCCGTCCTTCGACAACCGCGCCTGCGTCGGTGCGCCTGTGACTCGATGGCCGCCTTACGGGCCTCGGGACTTCGTATTGTTTAGACTCCTTTGCCCGCTGATTCGACTGGACGGGGTCGCAATAGTTGTAGTTGTGTTTACCGGACGCCAACAACGTCGCCGCTGCGGCCCCGCGCCGTCGTCGCTCGGCTTCGGCTTTCGGGCTAAGGGTCGTCTTCGTGGCGTTCGCCACCCCCGGCAAACCACCTGTCGCCTTGGCGGTGGTCAACATCTCGGCCACGGCGTTCACCACACCCGACCGGATGTGATCGCCGTGAGTGTGGCTCGGTGTGCCTTGGTCCGGGGCGAGGCTCGACAACTCTTTCAACAGCCGTTCGGCTATGTCATCGTCGCCGGCTTTTGGCGAGCCCTCGCTGCCTCCGCAAACCGCGGTCAAAATGTGTCCGGCGACGATTTCGGCGACGTACCGGACGAATTCGACGGTGTTCACGTACTCCTTGTGCGCGGGTCGTACGACTTTCGAATTCCAGCGGTGTTCTGCCTGCCCCGATTCCAGATCGTTGATTATTCTGTAGGTCGTCTGCAGATAATGGTTCAATTGCCTGCACGTTTGTATAATATATTGTATTAATTGTATATTAAACGAACCCCTGTATGTTAATGCCTATAACACCTATAAATATGATAAGCAGACAAAACTCTTAAAACAATATAATGTCAACGTGTTCACTGCCATTATGTCATACTGATTTGGATACCTGTGTGTACGTACTTTTTTTGGATGCCCGATGATTTTAGATTATTCTTTAATTTTTTCAAGTTTGATGCGTCTAAAAATTTAGTGCTTAGTGTCCGATGATTGGATTTCACCATTACTGTAATTTATTAAAATACGAAATAATTCACCTTCTCCGCTGTACTTAATTTTGTTCAGAGCGTTCATTTAAAATTGTTACTATATAGGTAATAGGTAGTATAATATACCTTAAGGAGTAAGAACACGGCGTATTCCCCCGTGTTACACCTTCAATTCGCACATGTGAATAATTGAAATTTTAAAATAACATTTTGGAAATCAAGGTGTTTCATGTTTTAATTTCATCATTGTTATTGCTGTGGTAATTATGTGTACATAATAATATCATATATTGTTATATATTATTGGTACCACTTACATTTTTGTTCAAACACAATATATTTTATACCTACATTGGTATTATTGGAAAATATGTGTGATGTATTCGAGACTAGGTACTTATGCTGTAGGTAGTGTGAACATTTTAATATGTCATCTTTATATCTACGGTATAGAATCATCATCATTGTATTATGTTATAACATGTTTTAAAAACTAAAAGCCTGTGATTTTATTTATTTATATCTATAACAAAGAATTTATTTTTTGATAACACATCATATATTCGGTGTTTGTCAATTGCGCCGATTTTTCTAGACTACCTGAAATTTATACATCTTTTGCGCCGGTGGATTTATCCCAAACGAAAATGGTATAGGTACGTCTTTTGCGCCAATAAATTTATCACAAATTAATTTGGTATACATAATATATATCTGTTGTGCCAGTGCCAGGAAGATATTATAAAATATAAAATATCATATTATTATACTATTATTAGATTATAATATAATTATCAAACATATAAAATAAAGTGTAATTTAAAAAATATAAAAAATTTAAAAAATCAAAATACATATAAATAAACGATGATAAATTACATATGAATAATTTGTCAAAAAGTATTAAAATTTCATTTCTTGTAATGGTGACTTACCGACTTCACAAATTGAAACATATTGATAGTACCGTCATATTATCATGTTATCTCATTTTTATTAGCGGATATTCCGATTTGACCAATTTATTGCATGTAGATAGATAACGTATAGTATGTACAGTTTAAAACGTCGCGATTTTAAATCGTCCGTGTGTAATTTAAACGCAGACGAGTACGTTCAAATCGCCTAGTGTGTAATCAGCTTATTTTTCAACTTCATGTATTGCCGGCGCAATTAATGTATAATCTTTTTTGGTACCTAAATATCGTCCGGCGCAGTTGATGTATAACCTTTTTGAATCCCATAATTTTTTTTCCTTACCTGTGATTTCTGGCGCAATTGACATATACCCCATATATTATCCAATATCCATAGGTACATATTATATATGATTATTTATATCTATACTTTATGAATTGAGTAAATATTTCCCTGGTGAAATAGATCTTTCATAATTATTTTATTTATTTATTTAAGAGTGTCAAATGACACCTCAAAAGCAAGAATTATGAGATAATATATTAATTGTTGAGGCTACAACACGATCGCGCAAATTTTCCTTTTTTGACCCGACTAATTACACCACGATTGCACAAAAAATTTGCAACACGATTGCACCCCGATCTCTTTTTATCTGTTAAAATCACAACACCACTGCCATTGCGCACCAAATGATATGTGTATATACAACATAAAATAATGTATACATACAATACATACTTTCTATAACTAGCATATACATATTACATGCACTTAAACTATAAATTCACAAAATGCACTTTTTCAAAATGAAAATGTATAGTATTATAAATTACATTAAAGTCAATATACTCAATATATTAAAAAAATATCGACTTATGACTATGTCAATACAATTATTTAATAATTATTATTATTTTATTACCATTATTTTTGTATGAACAAAAAAAAATATCGACTATGACATATTTAATTTAGAAAAAAAAACAATTTTTAACCAAGCCAACGATGATGATTTGTTGACAGTCCTAGACCTGTAATAATCGGGAAGGAAAATTGTGAATTAATAGGTAATAAGTGTAAGTCATAGACCTAATAACTAGTTTTATGGTTCAAGTGCATGTATATAAAAATGTATTGTATGTATACATTTTTGTATGTTGTATATAAATTATTATATATACTATATAGTATATACACATATCATTTGGTGCGCAACGGTGTTGTGATTTTAACAGGTAAAAAGGGATCGGGGCGCAATCGTGTTGCAAATTTTTTGCGCAATCGTGGTGTACTTAGCCAGGTCAAGAAAGGAAAAATTGCACAATCGTGTTGCAGCGATTTGTCGATACCTAGGAACATTACACAACCTCTCACATACTACGGGTGCAGAAATGACAAGTAAAATAATATAAAGTAAGAGCTAAAAATTACTAGAAAAAGAAGTTAAATATTTTTAAAAAAATGCTGTGTTCCAAATGGTCAACTGCACACTAAAATAGGCGGGCTGGCAGTCACAACTTGACAAGTAATAATAAAACTGAATTCGAGTATTAGGATTATACGTATTATTTAGGTCTATATACAGAAAATGTTTGCGGTATGCTTGTTCTTGTATACGTAGTACCTAAGTTTTAAGTAACAGTGGCGGACTGAAATTTAAAAAAAAATTGAATTTTAAATGATGCATTTTAATAATTAAGTACTTACCACCACCTTGTCTTGCATATTCACAGAATGTATTATAAATATTATGAGCAGAAGAGTTATAGGGGAAACCGCCTCATCGAGAAAAGAAAAATATAACTGTTTACACAGTATCTCATACACATTTGTGTATAGGATTATTCGGCACTCATTAATCTTATCATTTGAATTAATTTATAGTTATTACTTATTAGTTGACACTATATTTTTATTCTTTCATAGAATTACAACTGAATTGAATAATAATTTATATTATATATGTAGGTCATTGATCATATTTTAATAATTAATTTAGTAACTATAATTTAGTATAGGTTGATGGTGATCAACATTATATAAACAAATATATAAAATACCAAATCGTGTTGTTGGATTTCGTCATTTATTAAAGTAATAATTTATCCAAACACCATTTCATCTTTAAGCCGTTGATAAACTTTTACCGTTTACTTCACTTCGTCACTTTTAAAATCAACGATAACATTAATTTCTATGTAACTATCAATCACAAGATTTGTTTTTAAATGTAATTTCAGTGTGTATTAAATTCATATAAAACATAATTCATAATTATCAGACAATTAGATACTTTTATTACATACAATTATTTACAAAAAAATTAAAAATTAAATAAATGTAATAATGTATAATAGAAAATAGGTAATTATTTTATGAAAATATATTATAGGGGCAATTGGAATGGTTGATGCAATATTCACTATGGCGTGATACGGCATCGCTAAATAGGTGACCATGGTCTTTGGCGACGAATCAACATGTGTTATACCAAAACCAAACCGTAACCCCCACACATTCAAATGACTTGTGGCTGAGGGCCATTTAAAAAAAACGTCATCGCATTTACATAGTACAGTTAAAAAAATAATGTTTACATAATATTAAAATGTTTATTTTCATATTTTCTCAAATCTATTTTTCTTGAGTATCATTTGTTGGTGAAAATCTATCACCAAATTCGGGTAATTGCATTTCACTACGCTAGCCTCTAATATATAGGTTTCACGCCTACAATTTCTGACCCACTGACCAAAGTAGAAAATTCTCCGACGCTTCGTCATCATGCCGATTATTACTTGGGGTCTGAATCCTCCTTGAAACAATTCTTCCGTCATTTCAGGAGTAGTGTCCAATGATCTGAGGTATTTCCTGGAAACGAGTGAACGGTTAGCTGTCCGATAGATATAGAATAATATTTTCATTATTGACACAAGTAAACAATCATACAATAGTAACGGTTCCAAGAGGGGAGGTGAGTTATGATGTGTCATACAAACTACAAAGCCACTGTGAGTATCCACCACCCATCAAATAAAATTAATAAATTTCATACCGTAAGATTAATTCATTCATGTTCTTAATATTTTTGTCAATACAAGAATATAATATATATAATTTAATATGTTATTATTAGTATTTACAATTTATTACCTACTCAGCCCGATGTGGTAAGTATTGGAGAGGAGAGGGTGGGAGCGATGATATAGGTACTCGCACCCCTTGCGCCAACCACTGAGGTAGGTACCTATGCAGAGAACAAAAATTCGTGAACAAATCGAGCGATTTTGCAAGGCAATCGTCATCAAAAATGAATGCAGTAGTATTTAATACGTAAGTCATCAGTTTTGGTGAAGAACATGACATGATAGTCATAAGTCATTGTAACGAAATAACGTTTTAATTAATTTAATGGTAATCCTATTTTATTTTACTAGTATTATAAAAATGTATACGGAATTTACAGGCGCAGCGTTTAGGGGGGGCAATAGGGGCCATGGCCCCTCCCTAGACATCAAACTACGTATAAATAATAATTTTTTTCAGAAATCTGTATAGAAGTTCTAAGAATTATAATCACGGTCTCTGTAGGGTGTAAATAGTTTTATAATTTATATAAATTTGTATATGTTAATTAACCATTTAAATTTTTTAATATAAATATTTATTTTACATTTTTACCTTCATACCAACCTATTACATGTTTTTTCCTCTGTAGGTTAAAAAGTAGTATCATTTTTGGAATGGTTATTGCCCGAAAATTTATGTCTTCATCGCATAGATGGCGGTATGATAAACATATAGCCGTAACCGGGTCACGGGGACACAAGAAATAAAAATACAGTCATAAATCATAATAATGACACGATACGATACGGCCGTGAGACGACATCAACACCACACAGATGGGTTATCATCACGACGTCGATCGGCGGCGGGTGTTGGTTACTTCCTCTGCGCGACGACGACGGTGATACAACAATATGACGAATCGGCGGAGGTGACGACCCAGTGCCCTACTCGACAACTCGAATTACTGACTACGTAATAAATGGGTAGGTACTGTAAACGACGTGAGGGCCGCACTTAAGACAGTGCGGAGCATGATTGAAAAATACAAGGTTATTGCATATATACTCCCTCTCAATCAAATATTCGATGATAAAAACAAAAATGGCAACGTAAAGGGAGCCAATAATAATCAAGTATATAAGCGCGGGAATTTTAAATTAGTAGTAAACTACTAGCGTATTTTTCATGATAAGAAAAATTGATATTAGTAATTTGTGATATCCCTTTACTCAGCCATGTTGTTTCAGATGATAACAATCTGATTCGATATGCAATAACCTGTATATTTCAATCATGGTGCGGAGCAACGTACTGTCGTTGCCAGATAAATAATGACGGCGTCGGCGGCGTGATAACGGAAAACCAGGGGTTCTCGGTATTTGAATATTATTACTGAAAATATGAGCACACCAATAAACCAACAATTGTCACAAAAATTATTTTACGGTATTAATTTAAAATCAAATATTCTGATAATAATCTTTTATTTAAGAACAAAAAGTATAAATTGTATAATAATTTAACTAATATAATAATAATTGCAGAAAAACTAAATGCAGAATATTTTTTGCAGTGAGCCGGGTTCGAATTGGTGACTGCGCGCATCGTAGCCAACTGCAGTGTGACCTTTGCACCTCACTGCCAGCGACTAGTTTGGGCTACACTTGCTGAAAAACGCCGCCGTCGCCGTCGTCTCAATTTATCTAGCAACGACTGTACGAGTAAATCGACGACGTCGGACATCGGAAAACGACAAAACGTGCCGACCGGTCGCACACTAGGACAACAGCCCTCCCTAAAATTCCGTCCAGACTTCCACGACGGCGTACTTGACTGCGGGGTAATACGCACGAGCTTTTAAAAATTCAGGAGTGCACCCCGGAAGCGTAGGTAGCAAAGCGGAAGCGAAAACTTGGCGCACATTCGGCGAAAACGGGAGATGAGCAACAGTCTCGTAACTGACCTTGACCGACGACACCGCCGGACACTAGTAGGCCACACAGACGCCGCGCCATCGGACGTCACCGCCGATAACATAACATTATATATATATATCAGTGGCGTATATAGGGGAGAGGCCCCCTAGGCCAGAGTCCATAGTGAAATTGCAGGCTCAATTAAAGCATTGCATGTATATTTACACTGTTAACAGTTTTTCACCATGATTAAGTTAGCCGGTTGATTAAAATCATTTTTGAGTAATCTACAAGGAAATGTTAGATATATTGACGGGACTTGCTTTAATGACTTATTGACTTTGATGTTAAATTTATAGTAAGATAACATTAAAATATACAAACGACACTGTCAATATTTTTAAAAAAAGAAACAAAAAATTAATTTTACATAATAATTATAAAATTGAATTGCGCAATTTTTATTTGAACTGTATAATATGTCATAATTCTTAATTATATAACAGCTGCTCCCTTAAAAATGTATAATTATGGCTATGCTGCTTGACTAGTGATAATTGCTAAATCGGCCCATAGTGAAAATAATTCGTATATACGCCACTGATATATATATATATATATAATATATAATATATCAACAACTGGTGTAGAGTGGGTGCTTATTGTTTGTAGCGGGGAGACGGTGATATGCGAGTCGTGAACACCAGTTGATGTAACTTGACAAAAAAATAGGAATTTCGGAAAATCTTGATTTATTACAATTTTAAAGGTGATTCAAAAGTAACTCCCTCAACACTGTGTACCTAAATATGAACGATGGTGCAAAAAAATTTTGCAAATCATTATTTTGGAATTTATGTCCTTTCACAGTTTGCGATTTTAAGTTTTAACGCATCATACGCACTACGCATCGTAGGTATATACTTTATTGGTATATACTATAAAGAGTTGTAATTTTCTTTCTATGTATTTTACTAACCCAACATAAGAATGACGGTGAATTCAGAGGACTCGATGCTTGTTCGTCGTATAATAGGAGTTATAATAATTGAATTTGTTTTATTGACCACTGTCAATAACACATTACGCGCCTATATTGGGTACGCGCCGCGAGCACATACCAAATTGAAAAGAACAGACCCGCAGGGGTCGAACACAACAGAAGCGATGGCTACCAAAATTCCGGTGTTCGCTGACAAATATTTCAGTTGACCTTGTAACAATGTGGTCGGAGCCTGGCATGATGTTGTATTAGCCGTGTATCGTAATCGATATGAAAACACGTTGCCGAGTTTCCGACGAAATGTAAACAGATTGATCAGCTGTAATGTTAGGACACGGCAAACCGACAGCGTCGTATCTTTTAGGTTACACACTATTAAGGCGCAGTGATGGAACAACAATGAACACGATTTTGCCTACCTAAGAAAAGGCGCGCATGAAATTGGACGTGCGGCTATGTTGCCGAATTGTTTAAAACGAATTTCGGTTATTTCATACATTTTTTTTTTTTAATTTAAATACTCAGATACCATTAATACATCCGTTCGGAGAGTATTCAGATACTTTACAAGAATATTGTGATATAAAAAAAATGACACGGCTAATGGCTACGTACCATAGAATCGCACTATACATGTCTACTTCACAAAAGACAATAACAATTATTATTAATACTGCAGACGTATACTGTTTTTCACAGCAACATATTATATTATCAGCAAGCTGTATCGAAATGTGTGACCGTTCAGTACTAACAGATCGTATGATCAAAAATAATAATATAGCGCATGCAATAATTATCGTTCGCCCTGAAAGGTACCGCCGATAAGCGCCGAAATTCACATTTTTTTTTGGCGCTCGTAACGATTTGTGCAATTTGTTTTCACACCATCGTTCTCGGCTCGTTAAAGTACACTATTCATGTTTCAAAAAAAAAAAAATCGTGGGGCACCTACACGACAGTGCAATATTGTTGCGACCAAAATAATTATGTACATAAGACAATACATAGTTACCGAAATGCGTAAGTCCTGCGCTTGAAACTTTGATCGTCGTCTCCTCGGGACACTAGGCTCGTTGGTACGTGCCGGTCATGCCGTCTCCTGCCGATTTCAATTCCAACATTTTCGTCATCAACGTCGTCGGGAATCAGTTCTTCGCGCAATCCTTGTGGCAATCGATACGTCCGGTCGACGATGATTTCCTCGGGGTCTGAGTTTTCTCCAGCATCTTCGAGCCCATCGTCGGATTCGTCGATAGAGGATTCGGAGTCGGAGTCGGATTCGATTTCCTCCAAGTGATGCCACCATTCCATGTCGATGAGGGGTGGCGGTCCAGGTCTCTCCATAGTACCGTGTATGGTCGGCTTTAGAGAATTAGTGATAGGTCAGGTCAGGTCTGATCGGGCAACGCAGCAGCGGCGGTCGAGAACCGTGATTGTCCGGTGACTAAACGACATCCGAAGCGATCGACACCTGTGCCACAACTGCCGGACTCGACAGCTACAGCGCGGCACGTAACCACTTGTACGACTCGGCACGACTCGACCGAAAAACGTGTACAGTGTACGTAGCGCTCCCAGTCGCTATGATGTGTGAAATGTTCTGGACTAGACGACTACGCCGTGGTAATTGGAAAATTATGTTTTTTCAACCGGTCTGTATATCGTAAGGTTCACAACTGCAGCTGCTGCTCTGCCAGTGATGCTATCGGATACAGTATTTTATTTTCTCGAATAGTAGGCATCGATTCGATGGGTTCTGCGCATGACTCTCGCCCCCACCGCACCATCCGCGGCAGGTGAAAACACTGACGACATCCCCACACGAAATACAGCACTGCGGCTGCGGTCTGCATGGTGTAATATATATTCATAGGTACCCGTCAAAAACATTTCATCGAACTACGTGTAAAAAATTGGCGAGTCAAAAAAAAAGTAGTCATTTATAAGACTTCAGCATTATAAAGATGTGATATCGTGAATAAATGCCAAGTAAATTAAATTAAAAATAAATTTATTCCATATCAATAATATATTTACTTTGCGAGAATTTATTTTATTTATAAAATAATAATTCAGACCTTTTTAAAAAAAAAATTTAGTAACATTTGTAATGAAAATTTGTTAAATAATCCAAGTACGAACTGACATGTTAATTTGTCGAAATAAATTCTAGCAAAGTAAATAAACTATTGAGATGGAATAAATTTATTTTACTTAGCATTTATTCATGATAGCGCATATTTATTATGCTGAAGTCTTATAAATGACAATTCTTTTTTTTGACTCGGCAATTTTTAACACGGAGTTTTTAACGAAATATTGAAATCAGTAGTTTTTTATAACATATTTTTGAGTGCCCACCGGCATGTAATACGATTTGCATGTTTTTTCTATGCTTTATTCATCTATTATATTATTATGATTGTTCATTTGACATATTCAATTTTTTTTTTTCTGGCACGATTATAATATACACATTTTTATCCCCTCGAGGCCATCTTTCAAAAGTATTGAAGTGTCATTACACCGTAGCCATTTATTTTGATGCAAAAATTTAGTAAATAAAGTAGGTATATTGGGCTTCATCTATAGATGGACCATGATGACAAATGACAGATTTTAAACAATGTAAATATCTATTTAATATTTGCAATTATTACAGAACGATATCAAATATTAATATTCTGAAAACTCCAGTCTCGACGATCCATACTGTGCCCACTACAGCAAAGGAGGAATAGTGTTAAAAATTACAACAAATAACACATGTGGTTATTATATGTATATTACTGCGAATTACACTTCCACATTTATGTCCACATTACGCCCATAACGAGTACGAGTAACGAGTAACGATAAGCCAAGACGCAGCTGGCAACGGCGGGAACATCTGCCCTGTGTACGACGTATACATATAAGTATACTAAGGTACATAACATATATATGTACAATATACATAGCATATAACATATATTATATATATATATATATATACAGTTTGTCTCGTGAAGATATAAACATTAGCCCGTAGAGAGGGACTCGCCGGCCGTACAAAAACCGACTTTTTGCTGTCTTACCTATTAACTAAAAATTGATTAAAAATCAGGAGATTAATAAAATTGAAATGTTGAAAGGTCAATATTTTCAGAAAAATGAACTCTACAAAATGGCTATCTTCAATTTTTTTTTAAATAATTAATAAAAAAATATATACTTTAACTTTTTTACCGAAACACGAAAAAAAAATTAAAACCTGAATTATTTGTAGTGCTCGTCTCTGCGAGTTTTAATAAAAAACCAGAATTATGATGTCTACATTATTTCAGGAGAAATCGCAATGAGTAAATCCTCACGGGACACCCTGTATATATGGACAACGTATACGACATATAGGGGGTAATACACTAATACAGCGGTTCTCAACCTGTGGTACGCGTACCACTAGTGGTACACGGAGAGCTCATAGGTGGTACGCCAAGAAAATCTTAAAAAAAATTGCTACGAATTATTATTAACATTAAATATTATTTGGTTTATTTAATGTTTATTTGATGGTGTGGAGGTCGTTTGTAATAGTATAGTTTGTAAGGTATTTTGGCAAAAGAATTATTTATTGACTTAACCAGTGACTCTACCCTAAAATTCACTTTTAAAACCAAAAATATCACTAATTTTTGGCTGGACGTGAAACAAGAATACTCGTCATTGTCCACACAAGCTTTACAGTTTCTAATCCCTTTTGTATCAACATATCTGGGCGAAAATACATTTTCTCACTTATTGTACACAAAAAATAAATATAGAAGTAGATTAAACGTAGAAAATAATTTAAGACTTAAAGTTAGCAATTTGGAGCCCGATATTGACGTCATCGTCCGTTCAAAACAACAGCAATCGTCTCATTGAAATAAAAAGTAAACCATAATAATTATAATAATTTTACATATTTAATTTTTTTTTTTTTTTTAGCTTTTTCTTTCTGTGCATTAAATACTCAATTAAATACTTTATTTTTTATTTTTTATTATATATTTATATATTTTATATTATCTCATTTTGTAATTCCCAATGAAATAAAATGCTATGCATACATATAACATAAACGTATATATTATTAATGAGCAAAAAAAAATGGTCAGTTGGTACGAAAAAATTTTCAAATTGTGTAAGTGGTACGCGACTATAAAAAGGTTGAGAACCGCTGCACTAATACGGTCTCTGGCGACTTAATAACTAAAAGCGATCTAGCACAATATTTTTTTTCACTTTTTGTGCCACAAAAATACCTAACTCTTTTGCTAATACAACCGGTATTATTCAACCAATTTTTTCAAAAATGACAAAGGTATAATTTGCACATCGCGCCCGATCTACTGATACCACAAACCGACCAACCTGTCCATTCATTGGCTCTGTATGACTGGCTAAAGAAAATGGGCAAATGTGCACACACTCAATATGCAAACTCAGGCTCGTATTCTGTACCACAGTCTACGGTCGCGGCCGTTCAGCTTTTTTTGTTTACTTCGCTTCGCGCCACTACCGTCGCATTGGATAAATAATTTTAAGTAATTTTTTTTTACGTGTTTTATAAAATATTGGATGGGTGGGTTGAATAAAATCTTAGCCACTTGTGTTAAAATAGGTAGCTTGCCACGCCACTGCTACAAATCACATCAGCATTGTGATTTTATTTTAAAATATCACTCGATACATATTATGACATACATTAAACACATACGAAACATATATTTATATGAAGAATATTGTTCTGTGGTAAGAATAGTTTGTGTATTACATCTTGCCATCTTCACACCAGCTTATATCTAATACGAGTTGTTTTACGTTTTTAAATGTTTGACTAATCAACTGAATGATTATTCTAAGCTTCAAAACAAATATTACCGGCTTATAATAATTGTAATGTATGATTAGAAGGTTGAAAATAAAACATATTTTATCAAGGAAAATTATAGATTTAAATTTTAATCATCATTTACAAAGTATTTAATTCATACAATGTATTTAACTTCCGTGTACATAAGCAGTAAGCACCTTGATTCCTAATGAGTACTGATTTCTTGGGAAGAGTATGCTATTTTAAATTTGTGTACAGAGTGTACAGGTAAACCCAACAAATGAAATAACTTTTGTTCAAATCAATATTTTTTTATTATTTTATTTCATGTTTAATTTATTGACTCTTGCACTACACGAATAACATATTTTTTTTAAACATTTTTTCGTAGTATTGAAATAAAATACATGTAAATCTGAATTAAATTTTTTTTGAAAACTTCAAAAAAAAATTTGTAAATCTGGTTTTTAGTAAAATGTTGATTGCAAAAATATTTATTTAGAACATGTAGTTGATTTTTCGAAGCATTTTCAAACAATTTTGAAGTAAAACTCATTTATTTGAAGAGTAATAATTTAAAAAAATATATTTATAGATTTTATAACTTGTACCAAAAAATGTCTTAAAATGTTGAAAGCGGATCGTTTTTAGGTTGGATATAAGCGATATTATATATCCATTGGGAATTGCTGTGTGAGTGTGTGCGTAGTAACTGATCATTAGTATATTTTAGTGTGCGTCAGTTCACATTAATTACTACGTTTTATCAGTAAAATAGTTGACCAATAATGTTTTTACTGTCAACTATCGACAAAATAGATAATACAACACTGTATATTATACTGTATATATTTCATAATTTTATTACACACCAGTGCTGTTTTTATTTAATTTTTTTTTTGGTAGGGGGAGGTAGGGGGAGGTTTATCCGGATTTTTTTACAGACCAAAAAGTTACATCTCATAATAAATTAATTCTTCCTGAAAATTTCGGGTTGAGTTGTATCCCCCCTCCCCTGTTTGTACGCTACTGATGCTTATAGTTATTATATTATAAGCACGTATTGTATAAATTATGATTAACTAGTAGATATTAATTCACAAAATATCAATATAAAATCAATGTTACATTTGTGTAGGTATATTTTATTAAAATAAAACTAACAAATCTAATAGGTGCCTTCCATAAATGAAGTACATTGTGTTTTTTTAAAATGAAAACGATAATTTTCTGCGTCATAAATTAAAATATACCTTTTAATTTCATTTGATAATCAAAGCTTCTTTTCTGGTATAACGGGTCTAATTGGTAGTCCTCGATCAAACCTTGGATCAATTATTTCAGGCAGTAAAGAATCCATATAAAATTGTGTAACAGATGGTTCAATTCGAATCCCAAAATTCGACATCCTTGGATATTTTGTCAACTTTAAAATCTAAAATAAACATGTTTAAATTCGTTATAATATTTTAGATTCTACGTATACTATAATTGTCATACGTTCACTTATATATTACTTATACATATATTACCTTTCGGAATCCACACAACAAAATAACAGTAGTTCCTTTCTGTAATATTAAGTTGTGCTTGAACTTGATAATAATAATTATCAGTTTTTTCAAAGTGTAATTTTCTCACCATCGGATATAACGTACCTACTTAATTTTATTTTGATCTATATCG